AACCCGAGAGGAACCCGAGAGTAACCTGAGAGGAACTCGGGAGTAACCCGAGAGTAACCTGAGAGAAACCTGAGAGTAACTCGGGAGTAACCTGAGAGTAACTCGGGAGTAACTCGGGAGTGACAATTTTAGGGGTGACATTTAAGGGGGGGACACGGGGACAGGTCGGGTGTGAATCCCATCCCCCCCTAAAAAAATTAAAATTAAAATTAAAATTTAAATTTAAATTAAAAAAAAAATTTAAATTAAAATGAATTAAATTAAATTAAATTTAAATTAAAAAAATTAAAATTAAAAAAAATTAAATATTTTAAAATATGGACGATTAGAATCTTAAAATTAAAATTTAATTAGGAAAATTGAAATATCAAAATAAAATATGAAAATTAAACGATGAAAATTAAACAATGAAAATTAAAATTTAAATTAAATTTTAAAAAAATTAAAATTTAAAAAAATTAAATATATTAAAATATGGACGATTAAAATCTTAAAATTAAAATTAAATTATGAAAATTGAAATATTAAAATAAAATATGAAAATCAAACTATTAAAATTAAAGTATTAAAAGTAAAATATGAAGATTAAAATATGAAAACTAAAATATGAAAATTAAACTATTAAAATTAAAATATGAAAATTAAATTGTGAAAATTAAATTATTAAAATTAAAATATAAAAATTAAAATATGAAATTTAAAATGTAAAATTAAAATATTAAAATTAAAATATGAAAATTAAAAGGTGAAAATAAAAATCTTAACATTCAAATATTAAAATTAAAATATGAAAATTAAAAGGTGAAAATTAAAATATGAAAATGAAAATGAGAAAAAAATTGGAGGGGATTCAAGGATTGAAGTGAAAAATTTCGGGGTTTTTTTTTGGGTCACCGATCCCACTTGAAAATTGTCAGAACCCCTCCCTGAAATCCCAAAAAATCCCCCAAAAATTCCCAAAAATCCCCCAAAACCCCCCCCCACACCTTCTGAGCTCCCCAAGTGCTCCCAAGACTTCCCCAAATCCCCAAAACCAACCCCGAGCCTTCCCAATCCCCTCCTCCCATTCTCACCTCTCCTCTGGGGGGTCCTGGGGGGGCCCCCATCATCTCCAGGGGGGGTGGGGCCGGAGGGGCCCCCACTGGGGAGACAGAAAACGGGGGAGGGGCATCAGGGGGGGTCCCTTAAATGGCCCCATTCCAGGGACATGGAGGAATGGGGCATGGGAATTTTGGGACAGAGCCTGGGAATGTTAGGGTGGAGCACAGGAACGTCCCTGAACCACAGGAAAATTGGGATTGGGCACAAGAATGCTGGGATGGAGCCCAGGAAGGTTGGGATGAGCAGAAGAGCCTTCATGGGCTGCAGGAGTGTTGGGATGTGCCACAGAACATGGGTAATATTGGGATGTGTGGCAGGAGCATCCCCGGGCCACAGGAATGTTGGGATGTGCCCGTGACTCCATGGAATGGGCCACAGGAACACTGGGATGGTGCACAGAACACCTCTGTGATACAGGGATGTTGGGATGGGCCTTAGAAAGGTTGGGATAGGCAGTAGAAATGTTGAGATGCACTACAGGATCATCCCTGGGAATGTCAGGGTCCCCTACTCCCAGCCCTTGGGGTCCTCCACTAGGGAAAAGCAGAGAGCCATGGAATGCTTTGGGCTGGAAAAGCACCCCCCAGGCCACTCCTTCCTGGAACACCCACCTGGTTGGGGAGGCTTGCTCCGAGTCAGAGCTCTGGGAATTGCCGGGGGGGTTCTGGCTGCTCCGCTTCATCCAGGCGTTTTCCTTGGGAGGCGGCGCCGGCATCACCTTCGGCTTCTCCTCCCGGGACTTGGGGGGCGGTGAGGGCGGCTCCTCCTCTTTTCCTAGGGGCTCATTTTCCAGGGATTTCTCGCTCTCCCTCCTCCGTGTGGCTGGGGGGACACAAAGCCGTGTGGCAGATGCTGGCAGCCCCGGGCTGGGCGCCGTGGCTGCCCTGGACCCCGACTCACTCCGGCCGGTGGGGCCGGAGCCCGTGGACGTTCCCGGGGGTCCCGCGGGGCCGCTCTGGGAGGATTCGCTGCCTGTCCGGGATCGCTCCTGGTTCTCCTCGCTTCGCCAGCTTGGATGCCTGGGACAGGGTGGAAACAGGATCAGGGGACTGGGAAAGGGCTGCCCCACCCCACCTTTCCCATAGGATGAACATCATCCGACCCGAACCACTTCCAAGGGTCACTGCCACCCATCCCGCTTTTCCATGGGGACCATTCCCTGTTCCGCCCATCTCTCTGTGGAGACCAGCCCCGAATTTCCTGAGGGATCATTCCCTGCCCACTCCCCTCTTTGCCACTGGATCACTCCTAGCCAGTACCCCCTTTCCCAAGAAACCATTCCATATCCCCTCACCTTTTGGGTGGGATCATCCTTTGTTCATCCCATCACTACCAAGCAATTATTCCTTACCCATCCCATGTATCCCAAAAGACAACTCCCAGCCCTTCCCACATTTCCCAAGTGACCATTCCCATCCCATTCCCTCTTTCCCAAGGCACCGTTCCCACCTTTCCCGGGGCCGTCTGTCAATCCTCTTGTCGTCCTCCAGCTGCCGCTGGAGTTTTTCCTGCTCCTTCTGGAGCCGCTCCTCCACCTCCCGCTCCCGAGCCGCTGTATCCACAGGCTTGGCCCCCCCGAAGATGGAAGCAGCCCGGCTGGATTGGGCAGCGGGAGCTGCTGAAGTTTCCTCTTCCTTGGGAGCACTCCGGGGCTTCAGGTTGAGCTTCGGTCTCTGGGTGGGACCTGGGAACGAGCCAGGAGATCATGGTGAGCATTGATCCCACCTGCAACAGTGCTGGGACTGACAGCACAATCCCTGTCCCATCCTGCCATTCCCAAGGAATCATCTCCTTCCCCAGCTCACCCTTCCCAAGGGATTGTTCCCACTCTCTCACTTTTTCATGGGAGCATTTCCATCTTAACCCACCTTTCTTGAGGGACCATTCCATGTCCTTCCCACCTTTCCATGGGGATCATTCCTGTACCATCCTGCCTTTCTCAAGAGACCCTTCTCCCCACATCCCATCCTTCCCAAGGGATCATTCCCATCATATCCCACCATTCCTAAGGGACCATTCCCTATTGCTCCCTCCTTTTCCATGGGATTATTGCCATCTTATCTCACCATTACTAAGGGACCACTCCCTATTGCTCCCATCTTTTCCACGGGATCATTCCCATCATATCTCACCATTCCCTATTGCTCCCACCTTTCCCACAGGATCATTGCCATCATATCCCACCTTTCCCAAAGGAACAGCCCTAGTCCCACCCCACCTCTGTCCTCACGGCGGAAGTCATCCCGGCCGTAATCATCCCGGGAATTCCACCGATCCATCCGGTCATCCCGCCGGTCATAACGATCCTCATAGCCACGGTAATCATCGTCCCGGCGGTACCCGCTTCCAAAGGCTCTCCGGCCGCTGCCTATTCGGGAATCGTAGCCTGGGGAAGGAGACAGATCACCAGAGAGTCACTAGGGATAATGCAGCCCAGATTCCCAGTGAAAACAGTTTGGGAATTTGGGGGATTCCCAGTTACTCGCTGGCCATGGGGGAGGGTGTTGATCCCACTCTCTCGGCCCATGAAAACCCTTGGGAATTCCCACCTCGGTCGTAATCCCTGCTGCGGTCGTCGTAGCGATCCCGGCTCCCAAAACCACGATCCATGTCCCGCCGTGGCCCGTCCCGATACCGGTCATCGTAGCGATCACGATATCCTGGAAGCAGGATGGGTTTTTACTGGGATAGGCACCGGTTCCATGAGAAAGGAAGAAAATCCTAATACTGCTCCATATGGGAAAGAAGGAGGACCCATTCATCCTTACAAACTGGGAATGAGCTCAGGTGGGAATGAAGAGTTTTGGGAATGAATGAGCTTGGAGTTGGAATGACAGCTGAGAACAAATGAGCTCCAAATGGGGAATGAACAAGCTCAGGGTGGGACTGAGTTCTGGGAATGAATGAGGACCAGATGGGAATGAACAAACTCGGGGTGGGAATGAGCTCAGGTGGTTCCTAATCTCAGGCTGAGCAGTGTCAGGTGTCCCTAGATCTTGGGACACAGGAGGGAATGCCTGGAATGCTGGGCCCGTTCTCTTCACTCACTGTCCCCGAATCCATCGTCGCCCCGGCGCGGGGGGTAGTCATCGAAGGTGTCGGGAGCAGCCGGACGCGCGCGCCAGTCGCTCTCGAACCGCTCTGAGTCCCGGAAGCGATCCCGGTCTCTGCCGAAGCAGCGATCATCCCGGTCTGCCAGGAGCCAGGACACGGACAGGGACAAGGAGAGGCAAAAGGAGTGGGAAAGGGAATCAAGATTAAAAGGAAAGGAAGGAAACAGGGCAGGGTCAGGGCTGGGCCCTTGGCCACTCTCCCTGAATCCCCACCGTGCCTGATCCATGTCCTCAGCGGGACGCTCACCTTTATCCTGAGCTTGATCTGCCACATCCACTCGTATCCTTCTGTTTCCTAAAGACTGGGAACAACAGTGGGAAGTGAGTGCTGGGCTGGGAATTCCCTCCCCATATCCCACCTGACCCTCCCCTCTTCCAGCTGGAAGCCATTTGCCCTTTTCCCACCACTCCAGGCCCATGTCCAAACCCTTCTCCAGGTCCTTGGAGCCCCTTTAGGCCCTAGGACGTGCTCTTGGAAGCTGGGACTGGACTCACCTCTTCATTGAGGCTCAGGGCCTGGAACAGGGAATCAATATCCTCGAATTCCGCGTATCCGAAACCTTTCAACCTCTCGGGATTGGTGGGTTCCCGTGGGAGCCGCACGGCGCTGATCTGCCAAGGGAGGGAAGGCAGGGAAGCTCACCTCAGGATCTTGGCTTCCAAAGGGGAACGTGCAAGGGTGGCAGGATCTGGGATGGAGCAACTCATGGATATCGAGGGATTGAGGGGGTTCCTCGTGCATGAGGTGGAAGACAGGGGTCCCGCCCTAAACACTGCAGAACTTTCCAACAGTTTTGGATTGAGGGACTGGGAAGAGAATCCCAGCTCTGGCAGCTGAACTGGGAACAATGGGAAGGGCCGGGTATGCTCTGCAGGCTCCTACGTGAGCTCAGGGAAGCAAGCAAGAGCCATCTTAAAGCTCATCCCAGAGGAAAACCAGCCCTGGATGTGTCCAGCACAAGTTCCACAACCTCCTTTCCCTAAATTCTGGCTCCCAAAATGTGGGAGCTCCTTGCTCATTCCTGATCGGAGCCCTGGGATATGTCAGGAGCCACATTCCCAAATGACATCTTAGGTGGTCATGGGGTCCCCAAAGCATCCCTTAGATTTTCCTGGGATGGATTTCCTGATAGGAAATCTCTTGCAAAGCCAAGATCTTGCTTGGACCAAAGGAGAATCCACAACACGTCCATGGAATTAAAGAATGACAAATGCCAAGAAATAGAGAAAAGGAATAAGGAAGGCCAAGGTCAGATGTGGAGCTGGAGAGGGAAAAGCAGGGTAGGTTCAAATGGGAATAAACTTGGTTTCTCCCAATTTGTGGTTTTCAACACCTCTGTGTGATCCATGAGCTTCCTGATGCTGTTTTCTTTCCACCTGGGAGCAAACCAGCTGCCCTACCCTGCCCCATCCCCCAGTCTAACCTCCACCGATTCCACAGGGAAATTCCCCCACTGGAGGCTCCTCAATCCCACTGGAAGAGCGGGAATGACTGATCCATGGCTGGGGAACCAAGGGATTCTCTCAGGATCAACCTACAGACACCCACACCCCATGGCAATGGAATACGGGTGCCTGGTAGACAGAGAGCAGCATTTCTGCCCTCTGGAACGTCACTCACATTAAGTCCTCGAAAGAAATCCTTAATGGACTCTTCGGTGACATCGTAGGGCAGGTTTCCCAGGAATGCCGTGTACGGAGGGGATTTGGGGAGGCGGCTTCTGTCGATGTTGGGCTCGCGGGCAGCGCGCGGGGCCGTGGGAAGGATGGAGCGGTCGATCGGAGGCGCCCGGTAAACGTCGTCATCATTGCTGTGCCACGTGGTGGAGACTGCGGGGAAAGCCGGGATGTGGGCACAGCCACACGGCCAGAGCCAGCTGCAGCTGCCCGGAGCCAGCTGGGGCCATCTGAGCTGGCCAGGTCAGCTGGAGGCAGCAATCATCCCACAGCCCACCCAGACAGAGGCAGCTGGAAGCAACTGCAGGCAGTGGAAGAAACCGGAGTCATACAGAGGCACCCGGAGGCAACTGCTGGCAGCACTGGTAAATCCATGGAAAAGGTGCCCTGAAGCCATCCAGAGCACCCAAGGCAGGGACAGGCAATCTCATGAGTGGCTTTTCAGGATTCATTCCAGCTTGGATTCCAGCCTGGCTCAGTGGGAAGCTCTGGTGAATCCGGTCCCCAATGCCTCAATATCCCACTGCTGCTCCCCCACTTGGCTGCACACTGAGTCTCATCCCTAAGGAAAACTTGCATGGCTCTCCCAGCTTCATTATTTCCCAAAACCCAAACAGCCACTGGATTTTTCCAGTTATGGATGCCACTGGCAGCTAGGAATGCCAATCCTGGAGCCTTCCAATCTGGAAGGCAGGAATTATGTTCCAGGAGCTGGGAATGCCAGTCTGGAAGCTGAGAATGCCAACCTCAGAGCTCAGAATGGTGCCCAGGGATTGAGAATGCTGTTCCAGCTCTGGGAATACTGCTTCTAGGACTGGGAACGCTAATCACAGAGCTGAAAATGCCACTCTGGAGACTAAAAATGCTATCCTGGCTCTAGAAATGCTGCTCTGGGGGCTGGGAATGTAAATCCCAGATGTGGGAATGCCATCCTGGCTCCAGGAAT